CCTGCTCCATACCCGGGGCTGAGATGGCACCGGGCTGTGAGGGGACCCTGCCCTGAGGGGGTCTCGGTGGAGCCCAAGGACAGAGTCACTTAATACCGAGTGGGCTATTTGCCTGGCCCCAGTTAAGTTTTGTCGTGGGGGATCACATGGCCTTAAGAGATTTAAAAAAACCCCAACAAACAAGGGTTGCGGTTTGCCAGCGAGCGGATGTGCACTTTAGTTGGTTTTAAAAATTACTTTATTTCCGCGCTCGCCGCACGTTCTAGGTGTCCTATGTATTTGTTTATTTCCCTTCAATTCCTCCCTGTATTTTTGCTGCCTCGAATTTTTGCTGGACTCGCTCCTGTTCTCCTGGCTGCCGTGTGGCAGCGCCGCGTTCCACAGAACCGCATTCCCGGCATTTGCTCCTTCCCGGCACCGTGACATGGGGGGCAGAGCTGCCGGATTCCCCTTCCCACTCATCCCCAAAAACCTTTCGGGAGCGATGTGCAGCCCGGATCGGCGGAATTCCGAGTGGGATGAGCGCTCCCGCTGCTCCTCTGCCGGAGACATTTCCCCGGCATCATTTCCCTGCCATGTGCTTTCACTCCGTTTGTTTTTTTTTCCTCAGCCTCCTTTTCCCAGCTCCGAGCCTGGTGGGAGTTGAGAGTTCAGAGAGGATCTGGGAGTTGTTCCCTTGGTGTGGCTCCACAAAGAGGAGCTTTTTCTCCTCCTCAGATAGAGGTTGATGAATTATAAATCAATTCGGATGAGGAACGAGGTGTTTGCTGTGATTTCTGGGGCTGGGAGGGTCCGAGTTGTTTTGTGTGATGCTCACAATCTGTTGCTACAGGAAACATCCCAAGAGATCCTCGACTAAAGAGAGAATTCCTGGTAGATCTCTCTTGTATGAGACCCTTCCCAGCAGAATCCATACAATGCCTTTTATTTTTTTTCTCTAGAATCCCGGTGTCCATAAGAAGCAGCAATGAATAAGCTGAATAATTGCATTTGCAGGTCATAAATCCAGTGGAACAGGGAACTTTTTTAGGTCACTATGAGCGAGGTGCTCGTTTGTAGTGTCCCTCATTATCAGCTCCAGACAGGGAGCTGCTGGTTAAAAAGGTTATGAGCAGATCTGTGATCTATAAATCATCTGGAATAAAAGCTTGTTAGCACAACAAGTGCTTTTCCTGGCACATTATTCATTGGAATTCTCTGTTTCTCTTGTCATCTCATCTATTTTATTATTTCCTTGTGCCTGCTCAGGTGCTCCAGGTACAGCTGTATCCTACTTTATTCTCATTTTTGGACATTTTAGATTCCTGGAAATAATTTTTAGTGCAATGCTTACATGTGAAGCTGAAGCACAGGACAATATTGAACCCTTTTGGCTTTATTTTTCCAAAAAACATATTCAGGTTTTTTTCTCCATCACTTCTGTATTTACTTTCCAGCTTTTCCCATGTCACATGGAAACCTCTCCTTATTCAGCATTCAAATCCTGATTTATCCATCAGGAAGCTTAACCCAGATTAGCTGAGTAATCGTCTCTGGGAACACAAGGCTCCTTTAAAAAGTCATTCCAATCAAATCCCTGGAATTTCCATATTTGAAATGGATAGCCACGGATAGAGCTGGGAAATCTTGCCTAAAATGGCATTTTTTTAAATTGGAATGGTTTGTTTTATCCAAACATCCTTTCCTTGGAATGATCCACGTGGAGCTGTCCCTGGAGAAATGTGGGAAGTTTTAAACATTTGGGAAAAACAATGACAAAACAGTGCTTGGAAACACCTTTATTCCTTTAAATGAACTGCATGTCTTTCCAATTTTCAATCTTTATAAGGTTCCCTCAGCAAAGAAAATTGGATAATTATGGCAGTGGGATAAATACAGCCTTGGCAGATGGAAAAGAAAAAAAAAAAAAAAAGAAAAAACAAAACCAAACAACATTGGGAAAGTGTAGAACAAATAATGAGGTGAAAAAAACTCCCTTAAACTTGATGCCTGTTGCTAACAGATGAGTGAATATTTATATGAAATATTGCTTTGAAGAAAAAGGATTTTAACCTGATGTTATTACTCATACTCTGAGGGGTTTTTTTCCCCCCCTTTTTCTCTCTAAGTTTAGAGAATGAAAATAATTTTTCAGCTTCACTTTGGGCTCCTTGCTGCTGCTGTGTTTTGGTTTCAGGCGATGCAGGGGGATGCCTGAGCTGGGGTAGGTGAATTTCAGCTGAATTTCTTTAATTATGAAAACAGCTCTCAGCTTCAAGCTTGTTTTACAAAAAAAAAAAAAAAAAGAACAAATTGGTGCCATCCTGTTGCTGTTAAAACATGCAGGGAAAGCCAGGCTGTGCTTCCTGTTACATCTGGGAGCCCTTCACATCCCAAATAATTCAAGGATATTTCCATTATTCAGGTTAGGATCTTAGAAAGAGTTTGATGAATGGTACAGAGAAAGTAAATTAAGAACTTTTCTCTTCATTATGCAGCATAATTGAAAAATTCAAGCCTTTGAATTTAATTTTTAACTTAATTTCTCATTAGGTGTCTAATTAGACCAAGGGCCCATTTGCCAGAGTGTTCTTGAAGCACAAAACTTGGCAAAATCATTCCTGTCAATCACAGAAGTCTCCAGAAGTCTGAGAAACTTTGCAAAGGGAAAAAGACAAAAAGAAATATTAAAATTTAGAGAACAATAAAGAGAAGATAAAATGGTTTCTCCTTTGTATTTTCAAGCAGTGTGAGAGATAAGAGGGAACTTCCTGGGAGAGCAGGAGATTATTCCATGGCTGCCTCCTGTGGAATTCTGCACTTTGTGCTGCAGCATCTGCCACTGCTGGCAGTGATGAGAAAATAGATTAGAGGATGGGGCTGGATTAAATCCCTGCTTATTCAGGTGCTTAAAAACGTCATTTTGTGCACCCTGAGTTCGACTTTTCCTCATGTTTGGCCACTTAAGGATACACTTTGATTATAAAGAACTCCAGGGAGGAAAATCCAGAAAATTCCATTTTTATTTTTATTTTTATTTTTATTTTTGTCTTTGTTTCTTCCCTTTCTGTCTGTCCATGTGGCGTTTTGTGGGATTTTTTTTTTCCTTTCCTCCATCCACTTTCTTTCCCGAATTTCTCTCCTCTCTGGAAACCAAGCAAAGAGGGTTGTGGATATTTTTTTACTGATGGGAATGTGGAACCAAGGCAGATTCTGGGAGAAGTTAAGGACAATCTTGGTGGTGCTGAAAATAGAGGATGGGAATTGGGACAGTGTGGAGCAGAGATATTGCATAGAGTGAGAGATTTTACAAAATTAGAGAAAAAAACCTTCTTATTTGGGGTAAAAGTATAAAACCTTCAGGGCTGAACAGCAGAAAAATGCTGAATTATGATCTTTAAACTATGGGGGCTGGAGCCAAATGGGCAAAATCCCTTTGGGTTGGAGATGAGCTGGAGTTGAGCCCCAGCTTTCCATTCAAAGCTGCTGTGGTTCTGGGATTCCCTGCTGGGATTTTTCCCTTTGGGAATTCTTGAGGAATATTGCAGCAATCCCTTTGTCCTGCGAAAGGAGCGGTGAGGAAATGCCAATGTTTCAGGGGATAAATCAGATTAATTTCTGGTGACATCAGAGCAGTTGAGGGCACTGATGTCCCCTTTGTTTCCCAGAGTGTCCTGGAAGAGGATGGAAAAACCTTCCCCAGTGCATCTGTGGAACATCTGGGCTCTGCTCCCATGGCTGCAGACTGAGATGGAATTTTAGAGGAATATTTGGAGTATTCCTCTGCAGACAGCTGCTGAGAACGTTCCCCTGAGCCATTAAAGAGTTAACTCAGCCTCGTTTGCTCTCTAATTAATTTGCTGGGGGATAATACCCCACGTTTGACCTGATTGTGGTGGGAGCAGCTGCTGATCCTGGCAGGGCTTTGCCTGCTGTGCAGGGGAGCCACAGTGACCACACAAAACCCTTCTGCAGGTGCTGCTCCCTTCCTTCTCCCAGCCTTCCCAGCCTGCAGCACGGGGGACTGGGATTGTTGGCAATAAAAGGATGGCTTTTTGCAGTAAAAGGATTTTTTTTGCAATAAAAAGATGGTTTTTTGCAATAAAATGATGTTTTTTTGCAGTAAAAGGGCGGTTTTTTGCAATAAAATGATGGGTTTTTGCAGTTAAGGGATTTTTTTTGCAGTAAAAGGATTTTTTTTTGCAATAAAAGGATGGTTTCTTGCAATAAAAGGATGGTTTTTTGCAATAAAATGATGGTTTTTTGCAGTTAAAGGATGTTTTTTTGCAGTAAAAGGATGGGGGTTTTGCAAGAAAATGATGGTTTTTTGCAATAAAAGGATGGTTTTTTGCAATAAGATTATGGTTTTTTGGAATAAAAGGATTTTTTTTGCAGTAAAAGGATGGTTTTTTTGCAGTAAAAGGAAGGTTTTTTGCAGTAAAAGGTTGGTTTTTTTATCACTGTTGGAGGCAGATCTTGTGGAACAACGGGCAGAGCTCGCTGTGCTGCAAG